TTTTCCGACAGAACGTGTATAAAACTGCACCAGGAAAGCATAGAAACTAAAAGAACCTACACAGGGCAGCCTGTTCATGGCCAGCAGTAGAGGATTCATGGCAATTTCACAGCCAGCCGTAGACTAGATAATTTGAATGAATTCGTAGACTCAATGTTATAGACACCTTTCTAGGTTGCTTGATGCCTGGCCTGTTAAATGAACGGGAAAGAAGCTGGCAAGAAAGATAATTAGTTGTCTTTGAGTTGAGGGTCTGATAGGTATGGATCAAACTATTTGATGACTCCAAGTGAGACAAAGTCATGCTTAATCCCTAACTTTCTGACCAACTCCTCAGCTGTGTTCCCAGAAAATTTAGGGCAGTTGAACAATCTCAGGCCTTCCTTGCATCTTGTAAGAGAAGAATTCTCTTGGGTTTCTTAGACAGAGTGAAGAAAGAGTTGGGGATGGAGTCAACTGAAGTCCAAACAGGCTAAATGTCAAGATGGTGCCTTCTTGTGGCTGGCTGTTGGTGTTGGGGCGGGGGGCGGGGGAGAGCGTATCTATACATTCCTGTCAATGGAATAACTATGTAACCTCTGCTTTGTACGGTGGTGGCTGTATTCCTTCTGTGTAGGAGTAACCTGAGAGGAAGCAGTCTGTAAGATCACCATGGAAGTAGAAACCCTGGCCTGTCCCTGAAAGTCATGAAGAATTATATGGCACAAGTTAATAAGATCATTCTAGATCTGAATGAAAGAAGCATGGGACTCCATTATTCCACAAAAATAGTAGCAAAGATATCATCTTTGGTCTACACCACACTGAATTCGGTATTAATGAATACTTTTTGGAATAGGAAATAATGTAATTCAATTTTAAAACTAAAAAAAATCTTATACTGGAATTCTGTTTTTCTATCTAGGAATAATGTGCATTTTTAAAAGCACAGTTCAAGTGGATCCAACTTTTATAGAGGTTAATGGAATTGTCATATTTTGAAGTCCGCTAACATTAAAATCCTTTTACTTCCCCTCACCAATATTACTTCTAACTTGTTAGGTCATCAAATATGTTCAGAATTGTTAGGTAAAATATGAACATTAAAGAGACATATCCACCAAACTTTATCTGGAACTTTTGTTAAAAGTCTTTGATTTTGCATGTTAAACTTAGTAAACTATCACATGAATATAAAACAACTGAAAGCAAAATGTCCAGTAACTAAAATTCATTTTCAAGGCTATTTATAAGGAAGACTTTTTTTGCAAAACATCTTTGCTTGTTATCAATGAATAGTTAATATTTGTCATTCTTCTATAAATATATGAAAATCAGCTACCTGATGGAAAGTTATGAAGTTGTGAACTTCTTGACAAGTTTCCCCAGCAATAAAGTCTGAGATTTTTTAAAAGTAAGCATACTGAGGATAAACCATTCCTGTATCCTTTCCAGTAAGGACAAGATAGGCAAATCATTTATTTAAAGTAATAGATTAACAAATGATTATTAAAATTACTGTTGAAAATCACCAACAGCAAAAAAAAAAAAAGAAAAAAATTTTTAAAAAGCAATGACAGTAAATAGTAGTTGAGTCTAAGATCCCACATCATGAAAGGGCTGATGGCTGAGCTGTAAGTCCTGGGGTTAACTACCCAGTTCCATGTGTTAGATATCTAGAGTTTGTCAAGACTTCTAGCAGAAGTCCAAGATCATGGTCTGAAACAGTGGCAGAATTATGGTGATGGTGATGATCTGGCTCTTCCTGAGATACTCCATCCACTGCAGATCAAGAGGCTACCCACTTTCTTTCAAACTGAGATCTCTTGAATAAGCCAGTAGGCTTCTAGCACAACTTGTTTATCTGACAGAGAATTAATCAAGAATAAAACACGGTCCTCTTCTTGCTACTCCAACTCAGTCTTTATTCTTCCCCCCTTCCTTTCATATTTTCTTTGTTTTCTCCTTCGTGGCAGTAAGATACAACAGAGCTTTTGGTGTTGTCATTGATCTCCACAGACATTTTCCAAGAGTTGAAGGAAGTTAAGTAATCAGTACGGAGCCACATAGCGAATTGTTTACAGGTTCAAGGATCCGATCATAGCTCCCACTGGTCCTAAGAAGCATGGTTATTTTCTCACCTCCTGCTAAGAAAGCAGATTTTCTCTTTGCAAAATGGAGCCAGGTACACCTTTTTATTTTAAGAGGAATACCTAGAACCGATAAACATTAGTTTAAAAAACAATAGTTACAAACTGTCCATGAAAAATCTATCATGTAGGAAGTAGGACTTAATTACAAAGGACAAAGTTCAGGCAAAGATGACTAGAATGCTTCCATTTCAACTGGTCATCAACAAAGGCAAAGAGACATTAACAAGTTAGAAGTACACATTGTCTATTTCTGTGGAAAAGACACAAAATTACTATGAGAGCTAGAATAAATATTTGATTTTCTCTGACCATTCGGAAGTTTTCTTCCTTGCCATCTCTGATAGAGTTAAGTTGTAAAGTAAATGAGTGCTCCCTCCTCTAACGCTTATCATGTTGATTTGGCAATTTTGAGGGAAGGAAATATGAATTCCAGCATCTTATTTGTGGCGGTTAATATGCTTTGTATTAATTAGGCAGAGTCTGTATATTGAAGTAGAAATTAAAAAATAAAGGTATTCCAGTAAGGCTGGGTAACAAGGAAAGAGCGCTTGAATTTTTGTATGTCACCAAAGTTTTTTTTAAATTGCTATCCTAAAGATGATGTACAGAGAGGTTATTGTTACATAAGTCATGTAATGAGTATATTTTTTTAAACAGTGTCACCTCTTCTCTGGTTTTCTCCCAGTTTTTCTTCTCCCAAACCTCCACCCCAACCAGTTGTATAGTTCATTTTCATCATAATATCTAGTGAGTATCACTGATGAATTTGTCATCCTTTGTCCCAGCATTTTGGTGCTCCCCACTATACTCCCCCAAACAGATAAACTTATATATAGAACAAAAGGTACAGAAATTTTTTAAAAAATACAACAACAAAGGGGGAAAACCCAAATAACAAAAAACTTCTTGTTTCTAATTCTTGGAGTTCACTTTGATAAACTTCATTTTATATGATCATATGCACATAGCTCTTGAGCCTTTGTGATCCTCTCCTAAGAATATCCTCCTCCAGTGTGCATAGCTAGAGTTCTGCATAATTTATCATTTCCAAGTGTATTTTTATCTTGAATTTTTATATGCCACTTTTATATACTATGTCACCTAACTCACAAAAGAATGTATAATTCATTCAGTAATGGATAGTTAGAGTTTTTCCTGGAATTTGCCTTAGAATATGAGATACTGTGGGAGATAGGAGGTTATAATGGGAGAAGGTCGTAAAATCCAATGATTTACATGTGCATAAAACAATACTACATTTCAGCTTTGTTTCCAGAAAGCAATGATTGATTGGAAATAAACTCTGAAACTAAAAAAAAAAAAAAAAATAACAAATGGTGAAGGGAATACAACACTTAGGCCCAAGAGTTTCAAATTTTCATGAAAAAAGGAATTAGCTGTTTTAATAGGAAGGAATGGTATTAATTCTGTTTTAAAAACAAATTACTCCCACTGATAAGGGAAGTGATAGAGTGAGGCCAAACCAATTTAGAGACTACTGTAGTACTTTGGGTAAGAAGGGATGAGTTTCCACAGTAATTTAATGAAGAATAGAGAACATCAATTCCAAGAAATACTAAGAAAGTAGAGGGCACAGACATGATGTCAGATTTGTTTCAGAGCGGGTACGAGCTGAGAGTATTGGCTAATTCCTGATGATAGAAGAATCCTGTTGCAAATGAGTAGAAGTCAAGCCTCAGAGTGGAGGGGAGGATATGATAAATTTTTGACACAGTGTTGAGTGAGCAGGAGGTATTGGTTTGTGAGCTGGAGCTTAGAAGACAGGATTCAGGATGACGTCCTTGCATCTGAGTTGCCAGCATGGAGGGGTGGAGGTGATAAACGTGCATAGATTGTGTACATAGAAGCCATGAGTCACTGCACCTTACAGAATAAGATTGTTAAAAGGCTGAGGATTGTGTTGAAAGGGCCAAATAATACCAGTATTACTAATATTACATCATTGGTGGTGAGACTAACATGAGAATTCCTAGCTAATTACAGCAGGGAGACAATGGCTAAAATCTCTCTTCTAGACTATCATTACTATTATTCCATTGCTTATATATGCACAAACATAAGAGGAAAGACTTGAGAATGACTTGTTTGGTTTTTAATCCTAAGAAATAAAAAAATAAAAAATTAATTATGTAAAATATGACATACTTACATGTATATGTAGGCACATACATGTAATCAGGTGCAACATAGTACTATTTTTGGACACATTTGTTTTCAGTTGAAACTTTGAAATGGTATGGAAGCTACCACATCACAGAAGAAATCTGAGGCTTCTTAGTCAGTTGCAATTATCTGCCATGATGGGAAGCTGACTTTGTTTGTCAAAGGCAAAGTGAAAGGGCTTAGCCTATTATACTGTCTCTTTGATGTTTTTATAGGATATCATGAAAGATGAATGTTCAGTGCTCAAGTTACAGCTGAAAGAGAGGGATGAACTCATTTCCCAACTTCAAGAAGAGCTGGTAAGTGACAATATTTGGCTCACATTGTTTACTTTGTTTACAAGGTTCTTTGCTATGACCCATTACCTGTTAACACTGATATAATTAATTATATATGACCACTGTCAATGATTCAATCTGATTATCAATTATATAATGTAAAAGTAATAAAATTGCTATCTCTGACAAGTTGAAGGGCAGAGAAACTTTTATATGTGTGGAAATGTATATAATTATGGAAACAGATTACTGAGCCAGGGTTAGATGTTTCAGTCATAGCTATTAAAAATCTTGAAGGTTAAGGGTACATTAAATTTTGTTAAGTGCAAGATTTTATTCAGAAATCTTGCAAAAACCCATATTTTACTTTTTATTTTCACAAAGTTACAAAAAAAATGTATCTTTACTGCTCACTTTGGGAGCACATTTACTGAAATTGGAACAATACAGCAAAGATTAGCATGGCCTTTGCCCAGGATGACATACATTATATGAGCTGAGCACCAATGGCTCACACTTGACATCCTAGATACTTAGGAGGCTGAGATCTGAGGATAGTGCTTCAAAGCCAGTCCAGGAAGTAAAGTCTGTGAGACTCTTATTTCCAGTTAATCACCAAAAAAGCCAGAAGTGGTGCTATGGCTCAAGTGGTAGAACACTAACCTTGAGCAAATAAAGGAGTTCAGAGACAGTGCCCAGGCCCAGAGTATAAGCCTTCGAGCCCCAGGACAAGCCAAGACAAAAAGTGTTATATGATACTCAAATAGCATAAAATTATACACAAGACAAAATATGTATCATTTATGTTTTCATGGTATAGTCATTGTATATGATAACATAAAAATACTACAAGGAATCTTGTAGGATCTTTATAACATAACAAACACATTTGCTAGGTAAAGAAGATCAGTGGTTATTAGTTTTCTGGTATGTGTTTTCAATATACAAATGCATATCAATAGCAAGTTACATTTAACATGTTTATTTTATGTATAAACAAAAATCCTACTAGTATAACTCAAGAATTGAGAGGAATAAAATAGGATTTTTAATTCATGAAGAATTCATACAAGACCACTGAAAGAGTCCTTGACATATTATTAAAAGCAACAAAAAAGTCCTAGTCAAAAATACCTTCATGATGGCATTTTATAATAATTAAATTCAATAAAATGAAAAAAACAGACTTTGAGTGGTCCTAAGAGATTGAGATAAAAGAGAACTTGCCATGCTTTTCTGAAACATTACTACATGCTGAGTTTAAGTTCTAAGATTGGTTTCATTATGTTGTTTTGCTCCCATGAGCCAATAAATAATGGGACTCCATAGGACTTATAAACACCAATACTATTGCAGGTACAAAAACATATCTTACATTACTAGAAATAACCTTTCATAAGAATGACTAGACTGTAATATCACTTTTAAGATTTTTACCTAATGAAGAAAACATTTTCATTTGTTTAATATAGATTTTTAGGCATATATCATCAAACTTTATATGAATGGAATAGAAAAATACGTTTGCATTAAATAAATATTAAGTGTAGATATTTACTAAATCATTGAGTCATCCATTTTAACATAGCTAAGTATCTATTCATTCACTTTGCCAGAAAGTGCTTATTTTGGATAATTAACTCAGAGAAAGAAGTTCAGCCTTCTCGAAAGTAGTTGTGATCAGATTTAAAATAAGAAATGAGACCTTCGTTTGTTGAGTGAAATCAGAGAGAAAATTATTACTTCCACTGCCAGTATTACATAGCTATAATTAAAGTAATTCAGCACCCCTCCTTCCAAAAAAATCTCATACTGTCTGACATATAAAAACAAAGAAGAAGATTCTTTTTTTCTTTTCTTTTTTAAACTGGAATTACCCAGATTGGATACTTAACTTCTAAAAATTCCCATGTAATAACCAAGTTTCCATATTCATGTTACACTATGTAGTTTGAGTAATCATCTTGAAATTTTCACCAAAGGGGGGAAAAAAAACCTCACCTTTTGAAAATAGTTTTTCTGTTAGAGAGAACTGTCACTAAGAAGGAAAACATCAGCCATGATTTAAATATTTAAGAAAAAAAAAAGAACATTGTTCAAAGGAAAAAATTAAACTGTAGCTGAATTTAGAGCCTCCACATGGGCGAGCGATCACCCAGGGCTACAAAGAATTGTGGTCTATGAAAACTGGTGGTTCTGTTTCTAATCCTGGTGATAACTAAATGAGTTATGACACTTTGTCAAGATGAAGGTTAAACATTCCATTTTGACTTTACACTTGAAACATTTAAATAATTTTGGAAACTAGTTTTGCTGTTGCCTATTATAAACTATATTCAGAACCTTTAGAACTAGTTATCATGGTCTTTTCATTTCCTGACCATTGCTATTCTCATAAGCAGGGTAGCCTTCATATGTCTATATACTGTACAGAGAATTGGCATGAAATCATAAGGAAAGATTTACACTCAGTAATCCAAAATGTTCTTACTTCTTTTTATAATTATTTATCTTTAAGTAACTCAAGATGCTTCTCAGACTTTTTGTCATTGTGTCAAATAACTGAGAAAGGCAATTTCAAGGAGGAAAGATTAACTTGGCCACATCAATTCCGTGGTTTCAGTTAGTAGTTCTGAGGGAATCTAATGCTTTTAGGCCAGGCAGACAGCACGGAGGAAGAACACGGCTGAGGAAAATTGCCCATCCTCATGCCAGCCGGGAGGCAAAGAGCAAAGAAGAAACAGGAGGGGCCCCAGATCAAGAAATACCCTGAAACTGCTCATTCCTAAGCCATCCTCTTCCTCCAGCTAGGCCCTACCACTCAGTTCTACCTTTCCATTAGTCTAGTCCTTGTTGTTTTGTTATTCTTTATTGGTCATGGGGCTTGAACTCAGGACCTGGGTGCTGTCCCTGAGCTCTGTCATTCAAGGCTAGCACTCTACCACTTTGAGCCACAGTGTGACTTCCAATTTTCTGGTGGTTAGTTAGAAATAAGAGTCTTACTTCCCTGGTTTAAGCCTTGATGGATCCTCAGATCTCAGCCTCCTGAGTAGCTAGGATTACAGGTGTGAGCCATCAGTGCGTGGCTTTTTATTCAAGGAATGGTTAAAGTATTGATTGGTTCAGAGCCCTAAGGACCTAATCATCCTTGGACACGCCTCACAGACACACACGCCCAGAGAAACATTTTATTAATCTCTGCAGTATCTCTCAATCTAATAAAATCAAGATCAATCATTATGTGGACCTTGATAGCTAAGAGTTTTGAAGAAGCCAAAGATAGGACAAAGTAAACAGGACTGGAGAAACAAAGGATTTCCACTCATTTTGTCATATCATTGCTAAATGACTCCTTGACCACGTATATGGTGTATGTATGCACACAACAGAGGGAAGCTAGGAGGAGGGCACAGAATCAGAGGGAAACAGGAAAGCATACAACACAGGGGTCCATCAGCTGCACTGGACATAGATGAACATGAACTAAGCAACTCAAAGGCAGTGTTGGGAGAGAAGGAATGAGAGGGAAAGAGGGACCAGCTTACACTAAGCAAAAGGAAAGAAATGTCCATATCACCCGGTGTGGAAGAAATAGTTGTATTGTCAAAGCTCATAGAATTCACAAACTTTATAGACCATGATAATGACAGTTTGCCTTGTGAAGGTTAAAAATGTGTTTGTGACTAAGTATCACGATTCCACAATAATGTGAAATTTGTGAAATTTATGTAATCCCCAACTATCAATTTAAAAAAAACAAAATAACAAATAGAATCCAGATACAGTGGTACAAACCTATCATCTCGGTACTAGTGATATGGAGGTGGAATCTTGAGTTCAAGATGTACCTGTGCTACATGGTAAGACTCTATTTAAAAAAATAAACAGAAAAACCACACGAAGTTTAAAAAAAAGAGTTTTGAAGAGTTAATCAGTGGTCCATTGAGTTTGGTGCAAAAGAGAAAAATACCAAATGAACTTTCCCAACTACTTGACAAGACTGTAAGCATGTGGTATGAGTGTCTGTGCTGCAGGTATTTAGTAGCCTTTCTGACACTTCCCACTAGAAGACAGTAGCCTTCTTCAGACATTCTCTAACGTAAAACCTCTCAGTAAAATTGTATGTTGCGAGATGAATCTACTTGCAGATGCCTGGGGATGGTGTGTGTGTGTATGTGTGTGTGTCAGGGAATTAGAGCTCTATAGAAGGAATGGAATTTTCCTTAGAGTATAATCTACTTACTTTAAGCATTCAATACTATTTTGGCCTATTGGAGCTGCCATAACACAATCTTATGTATTGGATGGTTTAGACACAGAAAGATAATTTCTCACAGTTCTGTGGTTTGGAAGTCAAAGATGAAGGGGCCAGCACGGTTGAGCTCCAGTGAGGACTTGTTCCATCTTCTTTCTATATGTGAGGTGAGAGAAAGATGAAGAGCACTCCAGTATCCTTTAAATACTCTCATAATAAAGGCCCTGCTCTCAGGCTGGCCTCTAAACACAACCATCTCCCAAAGTCACAAAAACACCACCCTCCCCCAAACATCCTCTTTTATATACCATCGCATTGGGTAGAGTATGAAGGAGGGAGGGCACCATTCTGCCCATAGCTCACACTGTTTGTGCTTATGCCTTTTTCATATTATCATCTTGTAGAATGGTGGCCAGAAAGTTCTGCTATCTATTTTTCTAGCACTAAGTGTTCATTTCAAAAATTACGGTCTTTCTAGTGCATGGTTTCAGAATGATTACCTTAGTTCAGTGTGTCTTGATTTCTGGGTTGGTAGATTACACGAAGTATATATACACAACAAAACTCAAAATAATAAATTTGATTTTAGAGTATACTCTGTCTGGGCAAAGTATCCGTATGATGAACTGCAGTTCTAATTTGAGTATATTTTATTATCAGACGTTCAATGTATTCCTTTTCTGTTTCCTTTAAAAGAAGACACTGAGCAGTTTGTCCTCTTAGAGATCTTTCAAAGAAATGTGAGATTATCATCTATGAAAATTTTATGCGTCCGTTGTCTTGGTGAGCTTTATTGGTTTTGAACAGATTAAAAACAATAATTTGCAATTATTTGATGATGTCCAAGGGAAACATGAAATGTTAAACTCAGTGTCCTGGTGTTGTATATGCGGTGGTGCAACTAATTGGAGAAAAGAAGAAATGTATTCCACAGCCAAGAGGCTGTTTTACTGTAAACAGACAGGCTGTGCCTCACAGCATGTGACTGCTTCTCCCAACTGTTTTATTATAGACAGAATCTCCTCTGCGCTGCTACAGGGTACACGAAGGACAATGCTGACACAGGCTGCTTAAATAGCATTCTTTGATGTTGATAGCCGGGGTTGATGGCCTTATAAGAAGAGGAAGACTTTCTCTTTCTCTGCTTTGTCTCTTTGTCTAGATCTCTGTTTGTGTCTGTCTCTCTGTCTGACTCTGTCTCTCTCATTCTCTCTCTGAATTGACTATTATATGACATCGTGAAGACAACATATATATA